AATCAATAAGACAGTTGGTTTAATTACTATTGGAAAATGCTTGTCATTCCTCTGTAGCATCTGGTCCCCACTGGACCCTCACTATTTCCTTTACCTGCTTCCCCCACTGGCCAAACTGTGCAGCTCTTCAACTGCATCCTGGCCCATCCTCACCCTTCTACCCCCAACCCTCACCTCCCTGTACCCCCAATATGCTTTTTCCAATAAAAAAATTCTCTCCCTCATCTGTTTCAGTGCAGTATGCACAATTTATCCAGTTTTTCTCAGTCTTACCCCAACCCTGATATCAGTCCCATTTTACAGCAGTGGCACCATGCAATATTTGTCCTTTTGCAACTGAGATATTTCACTCAGCATAATGTCCTCCAGGCTCACCCATTTTGAATAATATTGCACGAGTTCCTTTTTTTCAGTGCAGCCCAGTATTCCATTGTGTGAATATACCACACCTTCTCTATCCATTCGTTTGTTGATGGGCACCTGGGTTGTTTCCAACTCCTTGCTATAGTGAACAAAGCCACGATAAACATTTTCAATATGGTTTACATCTCAACATTAAGAAGGCAAAAATCCTCACTTCTGGACCACTAGGCAACATCATTATTTATAGACAAAGGATCCAAAACCAACAACCGTTGTAAAAGCAATGAAGAAATCAAAAGACATGTTGCACTGGGGAAATCTACTGTTCCTCTCCACAATTCCTCTCCAACAATGTCAGTTTAAAGACTAAGTTGTACCTGATCCAAGCCACGGTATTTGCAATTGCTTCCTATGCATCTCAAAGTTGGACAATGAATAAGAATGACACAAGAATTGATGCCTTTGAGTTGTGGTGTTGGAAGAGTACTGAATATCCCCTGGACTGCTGAAAGAACAAATAAGTCTGTCTTGGATGTAGTGCAACCAGGTGTTCCTTACAGGCAAGGACGGTAACTTTGTCTCATAAGCCTGAGGCATGTTTTTGACAGAGATCAGCCCTTGGAAAAAGTCATTATGCTGGGCAAGGTGGATGGTCAGACAAAGGAAGACCCTCAACAAGACGGACTGACAAAGAGACCTTAGAAATGGACTCAAGAATGTTAGAAATCATCAACATTGATTGTGCAAGATAGGGTAAGGTTCAGATCTGCTGCTGCTCCTAGGGTTACTATAAGTAGTAGTTAAGCGCAAGGCAGGTAACGACAACAATGTTATACTGGCCAAACCACAACTTTAAAAAGGCAAAAACCCCTTGAACTGAAATAGAGGTTTGAGGGAGCTTTGGTGGCCTAGTGGCAAGAAGCTGCACTGCAATCCCAGAGGCACATGGTTTAAATCCACCAGATGCTCTGCTGGAGAAGGAGGGGCAATCTCCTCCTGTACCAGTCAGATCTGATTTGATCACACACACACACACACACACACACACACACACACACACACACACGGACTGCCTTCAAATGAATTCCAAGTGCTAGTAACTCCCCACTGGGTTTCCAAGACTGTAAACCTGAACAGGAAAAGACTGTTCCATCTTTCTCCTGAGGAACAGCTGATGGGCTTAAAATGTTGACTTTTCAGCAATGCAAGGCTTAACCTACTGCAATTCTACTCCATAGGGGTGGGGACAGGAATATAAAATATTTGAAATACAGCATTAGGAATGACCACACCATTAAAGGGAAGTCTCTAGTTTTAAGCAACAATATTTAAGTTCCTTATGATCGCCATTCCCCATCTGTGAAAATGAACTCCACTGCAGAGTCCCATTTGTGGGTCTTCAGGAATGTAACTTCACCAGTCAGGCCTGCCTCTTTCATCACCCAGAATGAGGGAGCAGTGAAGATGCCAAATATGGGTGACCGGAAAGCATGAGCCCAAGCCTGCAATGAGGTTCCAAGTCAAAAGCAAAGGAAAGGGTTGGAAGAACAGGTCATAAAAATTATGGTATAGAAAGGTGGGAAAAGCAAGGGAATTCTCACCAAATCTAAAGTATGACACGGAGCCAGGCTTAGGAGTTCCTTGCACTCTTTTTTAAGTTTAAGTTTTCACTTAAACCATTTGATGCAAATATGACTATTCAAATCAGTCAACAAATTTTTCTAACATAAAAGCACTAATACTAAAAAAAAAAAGAAAGCTACTTAGAACAATGGGGGGAACCCCCCAAAAAAAATAATCTGTTACTTTCTGTTGGTTGCGTCAAGTACCATTTACAGCAACTCCATGCGTCAGAAAGTAGAACTCTGTTAGTTTTCTTGGTTGTAATCTTTATGGAAGCAAACTGCCAGGCCTTTCTTCTGTGTACCCCTGGGTGGATGCACGGCATTCACCTCTAGGATAGTAGTGGCTGTTAGAAGCAAAAGCTGTACCAGTTATTTTAGAGGTGGAGTTTCCTGCAGTAAAGCTGTATGTGTGCTTCAGTCCCAAAGATCTGCTGTAGGAGAGAGGCCTCAAGATTTATAAACCCAAGATGATCTGGGATAAACCCCAAGTCTAAATACAGCGTAGATTTAACAGATGGGTGCCTCAAGTTCTAAAGTTCCCTCTGTAGCTTCTACCCAAAGTCCAAACGCTTTCTCACTGTGAAGCTGTGTGCCAGAAACTTAGGAATTGACTGGAGATGGCTTAACACTTGGAACTGCAAAGCCCCCAAAGCATTTCATGAAAGGGCTAAATACTGTCACCTGTCAAATATGCAAATTAACTGGAAATGGGGGTCAGTAGATAATGAAGGAAAATCGAGTCCTTTGGTAATTTCATCTGTATTTAGTCTCACCTCCTTTGTTCATTCAACAAACATGAATAATGGGAGGGAGCAGAAGGAAAATGTGGGGAAATAAAAGAAGACAGAGTTTTAAGATTTAGTTTTCACTTCCCATAAAATAGGAAACTCTGGTGGCCTAGTGGGTAAGACGCTGCACTGTCAACCGAAAAGTGGCTCAAACCCACCAGTTTCTGGTGGTTGAAAGCTGGGCTTTCTCCTCCCGTGCTATTTACAGCCTCTGAAAATTCAGTGTAGGGCTGGTTCCGATTCAATGGCAAGGAGTTTGAGTTTTTACTCACCCCATAATAATGATTTAGTTCAAAAGAGAGAAAAGAAAAAATCCCCCCCAAAAAATCAACTCCCCAAAAAACCACAAAGACTGACAAGCAAGAAGTCAAAAACAACGTCCTAGAGACAAGCATACTGGAAAAGCTGTCCCAAGCATGAAGGTTGACAATCCTCTTCCAAATATCTGAATGACTAAGTAGCTGGAATAAAGAAAAGGAAAGCAAAAAGCCTCTTTTGGTCTAATGACAGTTTAGAAAAAGCAAAGCTCATTTCTTTCTTTCTCTCTCCCTCCCTCCCTCTAACGGTTCCTGCCACAACCCCTCCATAGTTCCAGCCCCCACGACTGTGGGCAGCTACACAGCCCTGCCAATCGCAAACAATGCCCACAGACTCCGATCAAGGTCAGACTCAAAGGCACAGGGCGCAGAAATCGGACACGGATATTTCTCCATCCAAGAAGGGAAAGGCGATGGGGGTGGAGGTCACCCCTCAAGACCTTCCCCATCCTGAAGATACACAGGGCATGGGGGGTGCGCTCTGCGCCTTTCGGGGTTCGGCGCCTTTCTCCTCTCCATCCAGTTGGGATTTGTTCTGCGTCTCCAATGACCTCCATCTCCCCTTTACCTTGAACAGTGGGGGAGCTGCAGGCAGAGAGAGAGACAGAAGCAGAGAGAGAGAGACAGAGAGTGTGTGTGTGTGTGGGTGTTGGGGGGTTATTCTTTGGGAAAGCCGCTGACAAGGGCAGAGAGTCTACAGGGGATCTGCTGTAGGGGCTTTATAGGTTTTTGGGGAAACCCACTAGGGGTTCGACGCTGGGATCTATTGTGTGTGGGGTCTCCGTCAGCAGCCATTTCTGGGCAAAACACACATACTATGGGAAAGGCAAGAGTGGTATCTAAAGGGAAACCACTGTGCTGGTTGGCTCCAGGGAAATCTTTGCTGGGGAAACCGTTCTTTGGAGTGAAGATGTAAGATAATGGGGGGGGTCTCCACCCGGGAGCCGTTGCCAGGTCCTCTGCAGAGGAAACACTGTAGCCGTCTCCACCGCGATCTGCTCCCGAGGAAAAGATCCCCGGGAGCGGTCTCGGGAGAACAGCCCGCAAGGAAGCCATGGCGGCCACGCCCTGCGGCGGAGGCGTCGCCGGCCCCCCAACAGCCCGCCGCCCCCTGCCCGGCCGCCCCGCTTCGGCCAGGACCCTGCGTACCTGACGAAGGGCGACCCGTGGCTAGAGCCGCCCGCGGGGCGCGTGCGAGGCATGCCGAGCCGGCGCGGAGGGTACACATCCATGGCGGAGAGCTAAGGAGGAGAAGCGAGCCGCTGTAAGGGGCTCCCAGGCCGGCCGGCGGCTCCAGGCCC